ATATATATATATATATATTTCTGTCTATAAATCGATAGAGGTCCTTTATTTCAGATGTTTAATGAAATGAAATTTTCTAACATATCGACTTATAAAAAAAAAAAAAAAAAGAAAAATTGAGGTTACAAGGTTGAAACAATTTCCAAAAAATTGGAACTTCTCTAAGAAAAGTTGATCTAAGAAAAGTAACAAGTTATAAATCAATGACGAAAGTTCGAGGATCCATTTATTCGTTTTCTCATCATCTACAGTCTATTCAATTGTACGAAACTTAAACAAACTGAAGAACTCACGGTATTATAATAAACTACCGACTAATCTAATTGGTCTTTAATTCGAAATGTTCCCAAATGAAATGGGAATATCTTATTTTTCAATGGCGTTTATCATCATTTATGGCTGACTTATTGCATTATACTACAGTCTACTTGAATCGTTGAAATTTACGCGGAACAATGCAATATCGTGGCTGTGTGGATAAATTTGAGAGGAATTCCACGCAATTCGATCGACCGCAGGGGGTTCCGTTGACTCGAATCTATCGTTCGGAATGCAACAGTTGCCAATTGCCGGTCGGGGGTAAGTTTCGGTGGTAAGTTGTGTGGTATCCGATTCGAAACGACTTGCCTCCGCTCGAAAGCTGAAAACGTTTGTAAATAAACACCGGTTCAACGAGTGTTCGATATGCAAGATTCGATTAAACGTCCACAAAAAGGAAACAGCGCGAGCATGAATGGAAGATAAGAGAGATGAGAAGTATTTCCGTAGCGCGAAATTCGCTGCCATCTCACGTCGGAGGAATCTTTAATTCGCGGGCTTTTGCACACATTCATATTTTCGTAAAGGCAATTTAAAAAAAATTGCCTCGTGTTACCAAATATTACAAACAGCACTGTTTGACTTGGACGTTTTTATGTCTTTTTCATAAATTCACGTGTCTTCCGTGCAATTCTTTTATAAACATGATAATAAGATCCACAGTTTCTTTTATTTTCAATGAGAAATGAAAGCAATAGTTCCAAGTAGATTCGAATGCCAGTGGACAGAGATGAGATTGAGCGAACTTGCAAATAGGTTCGAATTTTTCAAGGGATTCCCTTCAAGCCACGAAATTTTTTTTTTTTTTTTTCGTTGGACGAAAAATGCATTCAGCGTTTGCAACACAATTTTTGACTACTTAAAGTCTTCGTTCTTCTATCTTCATTGTTTATTCTTTTCCGTCTCCCACTTTTGTTGAAGATCGCTTCAACTATTCACTGGAATCAGAAACGAAGACAACACTAATTGTAAGAAACAGTTGACAATACATTTTTATTTCACGGGATCACTAAATGTTACAGATGGATGATTTTTTTTACAGAGATATTGATAATACACGATTTTCATTATTATATCTGTTGAGAATACATCGCACTACAGCCCGACATTTATTTATCATTCTTACCATTTTCTCTTTGAGACTCATTTTGATTGCAGCGCGAAATGTCATAAATTTTCACTCTTCTATTTGTCATTTGTTGTTTCTCTCGCTTCAAATGTGCCATGCAGTTCAATACTGGAAAATAATTGACAACATTGAAGCTTTTGGTTCAGGGAATCCTCGGATGTTGCAGGTAGACGGTTTTTAATATGACAGAGATTTTATTGATTCCTTGTTCCTCTACACGCGAATATGAAATTCTCCATTTGTATCGATCCGAACCATGTACTCGTTCGACGTTTATAGGAAATCTCACATTTGGAAATCTCGCAAAGTGGAAACCAGAAATATTATTAGCCCAAGTGCAAGAACTTGAAGAGAAACAAATCTCGTTTCGAATGAAATCGAAATTAAATCTCTGAGCTTCTCCTTTGAATCTTTTAGCGAGAATGAAGAAAGGATCGCTCCGTACAGTTTTGCTTTCCAAGCGCCAAGATTATTATTTATGAAAATAATATAAATTTCGAATCTCACGAACATCGAACTATTTACGAGCATGTTTTCAAAAATCTATAAATATAATTCGAGATCGGCTCGAATAACAATATAATAACAATCATAATAATTCTATTCTTTAATCATATAAATCTGTAAATTACTAAGTGAAAACGTTATTCTTGCGCGAATACGTTTCAAAGCTCTAAACTATAATACTTTTAGACCAATTGAAAAACCGATGCATTGCACACAGATCACTGAGAAACCATGCTAATCAACTGCGCGGATTGAGATGAAACGAATATTATAATAACAATAGTAAATGTTACTTTTAAAAACTCACGGCTATCTTCAATAGAATTCACTCGTGTCATACATATTTCATCGCCTATGATAAATAAATTCGTGAAAGTAAATCTGTGAATCGCTGTCAATCGCGAATATTAAATTCGTAGATACGATTTCCATCATACATTGCGAGTACGAGCTCATTGAATACATTTTCACTGTCAAG